TTTGAAGCCCCCATCAATGATACTGTTTGCTTTTGTTGTCTGCTGTGCATCAAATACATGTGCTGTACTTTTTGAATGTATACAGAACATACTCAGGTTGGCAGAAACTAAGTGCAGATGATCCTTAGCCATGATTCCGTGTGTTGCTGTGGGATGTTTGTACCTCATACCTGACGTGAGGGCTGGAGCCCAGCAGGACAGCCAGCCGAGGTCCCACATACACTGAGCTTTCCCTAGTCTCGTTGGCTGTGCAATCAGTGGAGCCATCATCTCAAGTGTCACTCTGACCCAGGTATGCCTGTCACTCCTTATAGCATTCACTCACTTAGCTTGGATGGGGTGGAGTTTCCACCCCGCTTAGGTTATAGCTAAATTCCCTCAAGACTCAATAAGAACTATTTTTAAAAATGTATTTATTTATTTATTTTCAAAATTTTATTGATAAACAGCAATGAGACAGTTTCAAATCAAATCGGAAGTACAGTTTCAACAAATAACACACTGCATATATTCTTCTTAGTGGTTAATTGCTGTACAAGATGCGGACTTGAGATCCTATTTACAAACACCATTAGAACAAATCATTCTATTCGTCAATTTAATGTATTTAGTACAGGGACTACAGGGTCTCACTACACAGAATGAACTCATAATGATCCTCCTGTTTTAGACACCCAAGTACTGGGATTACAGGTGTACACCACCACACCCAGGCTCAGTCACCATCTCAGAGCGCCCCAGGGGCAGGGCTGGCACAGCATGCCAGGGATTGAACCCTGGTCCCTGCACCTGCCTAAGCAGGCACATTAGTCTGCTGAGCTATGTGGCCAGCCATTGGATTCTGTGTTCTCTACTTGTATACATGGTTATCTGGTGGCTCTTTGTAGTTTTAGAGTCATTGCATTGGCAAGCTTGCATCAGTGTTTAGTGTCAGTGCTAAATGCCTGGATTAACTTTGGTATTAAGGTGCTAGGAGATCAGTTACAGGTGGAAGCCACTCATTTCCATTGCTTTTGTCCAAAGCCAGTTACTTAAAATATACTTTTGTACCTTAGAAAGTGTCGTTACACAGGTAAATTACTTCAATGTGTGGGCAGCGTTCCTTTCTCCAGGATCTGTGGCATTATCTCTTTGTTGCATGGCATGGTTACTGGGGCTCCTGAGTTGTTTTCTGTGAATTGCTATGTGCATCTTTCATACATTTTGACTGGTAGGACTGGCCAAGGGTGACAAACTCTGCCAATAGCTACTGCTCTGAGGTAGCTTTCCGTAAATCAACAATTCCCAGGAGGAGGAACACAGAATCTCCATCAGGCTTTCCCTTTTATTATTGGTACTGGTGCTTACAGACAAGAAGGGCATCTCTGTAGGTTGAAGCCAGAAAAGCCCAATCTATTGCCTGAGACTTCAAGGGTAGGATTGTTGGGTTTCCATTGCTTTGACAGAATATCTGAGAGAAAGCATAAGGAGGAAAGGTTTATTTTGGCTCCCAGTTTCAGAGGTTGCAGTTCGTAGCTGCTTGGCTTGTTGTCTTCTACCCAGGAGAGGCAGAACATCATGGTGGGAGAGAGGAATGTGGAAATCTGCTCACCTCATGGCAGACAGGAAGGGACAGAGAGAGAGGAAGGGGCTGGGGCACAGCCTCTTTGAGTGCAATCCTGCGGAATTAACATTTTTCTCCAAGGCCCCATCTCCTAAAGCACTGGTGCAAACCTGTGACACAAGGTGCAGTAGACACAGAGCCCTCTCTGTCAGCATGTAAGCCAAGTCACCCCAGCAGCTGAACACTGGATGACAGTTGCTGTGTCTTAAAACTTTTGGTTTAATTCTAGCATTGGCACTTTGTGATAGGTAAGTGGGTTTTGGTTGTAGTTTGGGCACTTGGTCTCTGGAGTTTTAACATCACTGTCCTAAAGGTTCCACTACACATTAACACTGCAGACTTGCACTCAAGTCTCTACCAGGTGGGCCTTTAGGGGATACTTATTCAAACAATATTAGAGGGTTAGGACATAACACCTCTCATGGCTAGCCCTCCACACCCACCCCACACTGCTGGATGTTTTAGTCAGGGGATGAAGGCAACACAACACAGGCAGGTGACTCCTCAGCGCCACTGTGTCCAAAGTTTGCCACCCATAAGGTTCCTAGGTGGTCAGAAAGTCACAGAAATTTTGTTCAATGAAAAAAGAACATCTAAGAATGGCCAAATCCATTGCTTTATCCTTTCTACATTTTTTTATGCTTTCATATGAAGGTCATGATTACATGACTTTATCAGCTGGACATGTGATATTCAGTATTCCTAGGTGGGGAGAATTTTCTCAAAAAAGCTATCTACTTCTTTATGAAAAATATCTGTCTGAAGCAGAGTGCTCAAAAAACTGAACTGGGTCCACTCCCATCCTGGCACCATTTCTGCTCCTGAGACCCAGAACCACTGAAACTGAAGACAGTGGCAAGAAACACCCGTACAGAGGCCATTGATTCCCGGGCCCTAGAGTCATGTACTGGGGCTCCTCTGAATAAATGACTTTAGTGACAAACTACAGAGTTCCTGATGCTAATTAATATTTGTAGTAGGTAAGGTGCTACAAAAACGAGTGAATGCAGGAAGACACAGCGCTAAGGAGATCTCACAGACAGCAATTTTTTACAATATTGTTATTTTTTTATTTTATTGAGAAACAAATAGCAATGAGACAGTTTCAAAATTGATTAGTAGGACAGTTTCAATAATTAATACATTTCATATTGTTGTCTTTGTAGAATTTTATTATTTTTACGTCTGACTTGGATTACTATCAAAGAGTCTCAGCTTGTGGGCTTTCAGGGCTTTTTAGGGGAGAGCAAGAGGGAAGCACAGTAGCCGATTTGGTACATTATGTTTGCCATGGGACTTTAAACAACTCAGATGACAATGCAAGTCCATCATCATTCTTAAGTTACATTGCAAGGCCATGAGTTATACAAAGACAATAAAGACAGGTGTTACACAAAGAACAAGTGCTCTGATAGCTGGCTTGCCTGGGCATGTCCACTTGGTTTTGGCAGGATTTCTTGATGAGTCTACTTAAATTTTATTTCCCTCTCATTTTAGTTAATTTGAAAAATCATTTTCAGAGATTATAGGGACTCATTGGTCTTTTGGTAGTCCCCGGGAGAAAACAGTGAGAATATTTAGAAAATAAATTGAAGAGAAAAATAGCTGAATTTAGGTGGTGGTCTGCTTGTCTGATTGGCAAAGTATCTAAAGAACAACAGTA